TGCTGTTACCTCTGATGAATGCTAGGTGTTTTTTAACATGCTACTCACACCAACAGCACAAACACCTTTGGGAGGTCCAGTTCAGTGAATCTAATTAATGTAGGTGAAGCTTGGCAGACAGGCACCAGCTACATCTCCCAGTGTCAGCATAACTATCGGTCACAGTGCACAAGCCTCAACAGCATCCAAAAGAGAGCTGTAAAAAAAAAAGTATGTAGCTAACAACTTTGGAGCTGTAATGAGAGAAAATTGTTTTTGAAAATATATAATATTAGACCTAAATCTGTTGATCTATTGGATGGCTCGAGTTAGTGAGACAACCAAAATGGCAATCTGGCACCTCCTAGTGCAGGGGTGTCCCATTAATTTCCCCAAGAGGCCACACAAGCGACTTGGACTGTTGTGGACTACATCAAGAGGCCACATTAGCATAACTGGTACTCCAAACCAGTCCCAGTGACCCTTTGAGAAAATTAATTGCTCACTACTGTCCTACCGAATGCCCAAATAAGGACACAAGTAGAGTTAATGTAGGCAATAAAGTAGAAAAATTAAAAATTAAAAAAAAAACATCTGGGACCTGGCATGGCATATATAACACACCAAAGGCTGCAGAGGTTACAAAGAAGCTACTGCAGGATGGAGCAATGTAGTAGTAGTGTTGTTTCTTTTCAACAACATTCACAATACTATACTCGGGACAAATCATCCAACATTATAAAACAGCAAATAAATAACCACCAAACAAATTTAAATTACTTCATGCTTTACACCAACAGGGAAATCCTAAAAGAAACCATGGCTGCTGATGAAGAGTATGAGAGAGAGCAGTGGACAATGTTTGGGAATGAGGCGGAGAGGGTGGAAATCGATGTGATCAGGAACCAGCAGTTGTTATGCACTCGTGTTAACAAGATAGCTCTTCGCAAACAGGTACAGTCAAGTATTTGTCTTAAGAATCCCATTATTTTGTTCATCAAAAGACTACAAAACTGTTTAGATATTAGCATTTCTGGAGAAAAAGTGCCACAGTTTGACCACCTTAAATAAATACAGCTTTTCTGATTGGTAGATAACAACCAGAATATTTTTCAGAAAGGTTCCCGCTTGATTACTGTTGCTAATTGTCCATCCTTCCTTGGTCCTCCCACTTGTTTTAATGACAGCCAAAGCACAGAGACTTGCTATATTTAAAAAAATACAGTGTGTTTATCTACAATAAATATTTATATACATCCATGTTTTCCTTCCATGGATAAATTCACCACTCTGTCTGTACCTCAGGCAGAAATGAAGGCATCTGCCCACATGAGGTACCTGGAGCAACTGAGTCAGAAGGCCCCAGACTTTCCAATCCCTCTGAGGGCTCACACCGTCTGGCAAGGCATGACTGTGAAACTCTCCTGCACTGTCCAGGGCTGTCCAACCCCAAAGGTGACATGGTGAGTACCCTCATCTCTTTCTACTACTGCATTCTTTATGCTAAAAAATGTGCAGTGTCCCCACAAAAATCACAGGGCCATGGGCAAAGTTGCATCCTGTGATGTTAACCTATGACGTCACTTGTCTAGTTTTGTAGATATGCTGTAGAAATGTCTACACTCTCTTGAATATAATACAACCAGATGTGCCTTGCCTTGTGGAGCTGTAAGGGCCAAAAACTACAACTGAAAAATCCAGGAGCTCTTCCTACAAAATCATGACCAACTTAAGTAAAATAAATACCAATATAAAAATAACAAACCACAAAACCTGTTCTAAGCATTTTACTTGAGAAACTACTTTTTTTATACTGTCAACATTATAAATGAACAGTAAGTCGATGTTTAATTGCCATAAAACTGCATTTGTTCTAATGGCCAGCAAGATGCGACTACTTGGGTTTAAATGAAGAAGAAGCCAGATTGTTTAAAAGTCTAAGGAAAACAGCCCTTTAGCTTTCTTGATGTGTGAACTCGACATTTTCATTCACTGATTTCAAATTTCACTGAAAGCAACATGATGCTTATTTAATAAATTACGGTTCCCATTACAGTCATTGAGGAGGAAAAAGCAGGGTATGCTTTACGGTGGGTCGACCCTGTAATTGACTACTCTGTGAGCATGCAGTATCCTTCAACTTGGAAAATCCACCCTTTTTATATACAGACACACATCACATACATAGCTGGTCACTGTCTATAACACAAGGTGCAATATCCTGGGGAAATGGGTTCCTGTCCTCTGGTCTAGCCATACATTTGGATATCTGCATTTGTTCCAGCTGATAAATGAACATTTTAAAAGTAAAGAAGAGACGGGAGAAACATTCGTCAGCATAGCAGGTTCACCATTGAACACTCTGGAACTTCCAGCACAGCAGCTAGCGGACGTAAAGAGGAATCCACAATTTGTTATCGTAAAATGTGTATATTTTGAACTGCACTGTCATGTTATCTCATAAATAACTATATATAATAAATATAAGGAATAAGGAAATCTGTTTATGTTTTAGGTGTTTATGTGTCACGTGTGTTTATGTTATTCACAGCAAATTTTCATGCTGTGAATCATAGTCTAAGGAGCTTG